TTGGAGATACATCATGGAGAAGCGCAAAGTTGACTAAGTCATTACCTGCTCACCATTGGCGTCCTCAGGAAAAAAGGAGCACCACCATCACAACAATCATGAATCGGCATAAGGTGGGCTTATACAGTATTGGAATAATCTTATATTGGTTGTCATTTTTTCCAGGTCCACTGACTCGTCCTTCTGTTGCAATGCCTTGTCTGCTATGCCCGTCTCTCTTGTGCTGCCTCCTCCTCCTCCCCTTTCCACTAGCCTCCAGTTGTGCTTCTAATGGAGACACAGTGGTCATAACCAGCAGTGGCCCTATTAAGGGCAAGCAGTTCCTGTCTGGCCTTGGATCTGTGACAGCCTATCTAGGCATTCCTTATGCTGAGCCTCCCCTGGGGAAGTTGCGTTTCCAGAAACCTCTTCCACATCAGCCATGGAAGCAACCATTGGAAGCCACCAGTTTTGGCAATTCCTGTCCTCAATTTATTTCCCAGGATGTCCCTGAAGCAGAGATATGGTCTCCTAAAACACCACTGTCAGAAGACTGCCTTTCGCTCAACATCTGGGTGCCACACCCACAACCTTCTGCCCCAGTGCCTGTTTTGGTCTGGATACATGGAGGAGGATATTTCATGGGCACGTCTTCTCTGGAGTTGTTCAATGGGGCATCCTTAGCTGCCACTGAGAATGTCATTGTGGTCACCATCAATTATCGCTTGGGAGCCTTAGGCTTCCTTTACTTTCCACCAGCTGCCCCAGGGAACCTAGGCTTATTGGACCAACAGCTGGCCCTGAAGTGGGTAAAAGAGAATGCAGCTGCCTTTGGGGGAGATCCTTCTCGGGTGACCATTTTTGGCCACAGTGCTGGAGGAGCTTCTGTGAATTTCCATCTTCTCGCGCCAAAAAGCCAGGACCTTTTTGCCCAAGCGGTGATACAGAGTGGAACAGCCAATGCCTTCTGGGCTTGGAGGTCTCCTGAGGAAGCCAAACGGATATCTCTGGAATTCATTCATTTGCTAGGTTGCTCTGAGGACAATAAGATCAGCATAGGGCACTGTCTGCAAACAAAAAATGTTTCTGAATTGATTCGGCATGAAATGGCTCTCTTTGCGAAAGGTGGCATCCTTCTGAATTTTCCCTTCAGGCCAACCACAGATGGGGACTTTTTACTTGGGGAACCAGAAAAGCTCATGGAGGAGGGGCAAATTCAGGTCAAACCTGTCCTCATAGGTGAAACCTCTGATGAAGCGGCCTCATTTGTCCATTATGTTTTCTCTAACATCACCCACAATCTCATCAGTCAGGAGCAGCTTCTGAAAGGGATACAGCTGTTGGTGCCAAATGCAACTGAAGATGTGGTTCAGAGTATAGCACTGAGGTACAGTGAAGGGAATCACGGTCCAGCAAAATACCGCTCCGCTCTGTCCCACTTCTATACAGATCGGATATTTACATGTCCATTCATTGAAGCTGCAGGAAATATCAGGAAAACGGGGAGTCCTGTATATGCGTATTTATTCGCACATCGCCCTTCATGGTCAATTTGGCCTGAATGGATTGGGGCATCCCACGGTGCTGAGGTTCCTTATGTTTTTGGGACCCTTGAATCAGTGATGCCTGTCAATCAAACATACACAGAGGCTGAAGCCAGACTGAGCCGTAAGGTGATGCACTACTGGGCAGAATTTGCCAGAACTGGGTAAGTGGTTCACTTTATTTCTATCAATTTGTATTTTAAATCCAAAGAAAGCCCCCACACACACATTCAACAAATGCATTTCATATCTAAAGTAATGCAGCCATAAAGTAATGTACTCTATTTCTTTGCCTATGTTTACAGGTTGTGCTAATACATGTAGCTCATGATTTACAACCACAGTTGGGACTAGAATTTCTGTTGCTAAGCAACATGGTTGTTAAGTGAGTCATGCCCAATTTCAAAACCTTTCTTACAGCAGTTATTAAGCAAATCACTGCAATTCTTAAGTACAATATATGATTATGTGAATCCAGCTTCCTCCACTGATTTTGCTTGTTGAAAGTCATCTGGGAAAGTTGCAAATGGTGATCATGTGACCCCGGGACACTGCAGCCATTGTAAATATATGCCAGTTGCCAAGCAGCCAGATTTTGCTCACGTGGCCGTGAGGATGCTGCAATAGTTGTAAGTGTGAGAACCAGTTGTAAGTCACTCTTTTCAATGCAGTCATTCAATGAATGGCTTTAAGTCAAGGACTACCTGTACTGATTTTAAGGATGCTGAATTATGTCAGTTATAGGCGATCATTCCTTTTTGATTTCAGTGGTATGTTATTTCTACAAGTGAAATAAAGGAGGCAAAAGGGAAGTAAGGAACAGGACATTATTACTGTACCGTTAAGAGAACAAGCAAAGGCTTGCAAGGGAGTCAAGTAATGAAGGGGAAACTGACAAGATGCAGGGTGCCCAGGAGTGTGAGGAATGGGGGAGTGGATTGGGACTGGCAGGAGTTGACCAGGCTTTGGGTCAGCAAGGAACAGACACAAGAGATTTTATCTAGTCAAACCCCACCCTTCTTTCAATTTCCCAAAGAAGAATTACACAGCTACTTCAGAATAACAGAGGTGGAAGGAATCCTGGAGCTCTTTTGTCCATCCCCTGCTGAAGCAGGAGATGGCGAACCTATGGCACGTGCGCCACAGGTGGCACGCAGAGCCATTTTTGCCATCACACGAGCTGCAGGCAAACTTACCTCACTGCGTATGTGTGCACCTCACAGCTGATGTTCAGCCAGTTTGAGGCCTTTTTCGGCCTCCCAAAGGCTTGAGGAAGGCTTCTGCAGGCTTCAGAAGGCCAAAAACTAGACCCGTTTTATCACTTCCTATTTTTCTGAAAATACTAAAGTGGTGAAACGGGGCTAGATTTCGGCCTACAAAGCTTGTAGAAGCCTGCAGAAACCTTCTTCAAGCCGTTGAGAGGCTGAAAAAGGCCTCAAACTGGCCGAAAATCAGCTGTGAGGCACAGTGCAGGTAAGGGGGCAGCAGGGATGGGTGGGTGGGGATTGCGTGCGCATACGTAGGGGGCATGGCGGGGCTCACATTGCCTTTTGGGTGCTGGCACGCGAGCGTGAGCATGCATGCGCACGCACAATTTTTGGCACAGGAGCCCAAAAAGTTTAGCCACCACTTCCCTATACCATATACTTCAGACAAGTGACTTCTTGAAAGCCTCCAGTGATGGAGCACCCATAACCTCTGAAAACAAGCTGTCCACTGATCACTTGTTCTCACTATCAGGAAATCCCTCCTTAATTGTATCTCTGCTTGATAAACCTTCCATCAATGTCCTTTCCTTCCTCCACAGGAATCCTTCCGGGTCAGCAGCCACCAAGGATAAATGGCCTCTCTATGATCCCACAGAGCGCAATTTCTTCCTTCTTAATACTGGGCCATTCCAGGAAAGGGCGAAAGAGCATTGCAGTTTTTTAAAGAGCCTTTTTTCAAAGGCTGAAGAGCCACGTAAGTTCATCTATTAGTTCTGCCTTTGGAAGGGAGTAATGGTTGATGAAAAAGCTGCTTTTAAAAATCATTTATATATCAAATATAGAGATCGCCCATCTCATTCATAGCGCAATTTCTAAAAATTGATGTTATTGCCTGTGTTTGCTGAAACATACGCATTTGATTTTGCACTGGGCAATTTTGTAATGCTAGCGATACATTTTGTAGAGCAAGCATATTTCAAAGACACCACAAGAATTAGGTCTCTAGTAATGTCCTCTAAGTAAGCCTTAGTTGCTCACATAAAGATAACAACAATAACAAATCCCAAAACTCCTGGATCCCCCCTTGACCACCATCGGCATTGACAAAATCCCTCTCAGTCAATTGCAAAAGGCAGCTTTACTTGGAATAGCTTACATCCTGCAATGATAACTTTAACACCCTCAAAAAATATCTGCCCATCCTGGCTTTTGAGAAGGACTGAGTTGGTGGACCTCCAATCTAAACATTTGGCTGATCATGTGATGAACAATAATGTTTTGATATCTATTTCATAAATATATATGATGTCATGAATCATGGAATCGTCAGAATCCTATTTCTAGATTCAGATTCTTCTGTGATAAGATGTACACCTTATCTTGATATTTCATTTTTCTTTGTTCTGCAGAAAAGTCCGAAGGTGATCCTGTTTCATCAGACTAGGAAGAAGACAGGAGGTGTCCCTAACAGTGATACTGTCATTCAATAGGGAGAAGTGGGAGCCCTTGAATTTGATTCATTACTATTGCCTGCAACAACTGTTATTTTATTACTTGTATCCTGTCGCCAATGCGCCTTGAGATTTTCTCACCTCTTGGGAAATGTTTAGGGCGGGGGCAGGTGGGTTGTTTCACTTTGAAAGCCAGCGGAGATGGCCATGGGAATGTATGCTTATCTGTTTCTCAGAGCGGCCGGTACAATGACATCTTCACACCTGTGGATTGGCTGAAATCCGCATTTGGCTAAAGGGAGGGGGTTTTACTGCTTTCATTCTACTTGTTTTGCCTAAGGGTATTCAGACTCTGCTTCAAATGTATTGCTATCACTTCTGCTTAATAAAGGGTTCCTTTAGAAATACTTTGGTTCAAGAGTCTTCACTTTCTTAAGTTAGGAGGAGAGGCAATCCTTACAGGAGGT